ATATTAAATATTGCAAAAAAATATTACTGTAATATTTGTGTGCTATCTGGGGATGGGCTCCATAATAAATTGAAATTGATTCAAACGAATTGAAAAGTTGGCATTTTGGCAAATAAAATTAATTCCACTCAATTTAACCCGGTTTACAATAATTTTTAATCTGCAAAGTTTCCTTTAATTGCTCTTGTCCCTATCAAGCCGCGCAGTTCGGCCCCCTAATGACGGGTTAAGTAGCAAACCATGTTGCCAGTCGTAAAAACTCATAATGGCTTTTGAATGTGAAGGGGTAGAATAATTTAACCCATATTGTAATAATTTGAATAGGAGCTGAACGAGTCAGTGCCCAATCGATTCTATCTGTACCGAAAAAATGATCATTCTCACTTTATTAGATTGCCATAATGCATATGAAACTGAAATGCTGTCTTCTAATACATGATCTCTTATAGTGGGAAAATGCCTGGCATTTCAGTAGTGACGTAATATTTTATAGATTACTTTTTCATTCTTAATTCACATAGTCTCTGTTATACCTTAATAAAGTTTCCCTGGACTTCCAATCTTTGTTCCTGACAATCGTCCTTAAAATGCTGCTAATTAGGATCAGGATCACCAAGCCGAGTATTGTTTGCCGGTGCCTAGAGTAGTTAGTCCAAAGTAGCTGGACTCCATATACGGTCAGTAAAATAGAACCCAGACTGGAAATTCGAAATTGGGACATAGCTTTATTAGGACTTCGGGACACATTTATTTATATTATTAACTAGTTAATAATCACTCAGCCACAATGTTTTAGAAAGTTTGGCGATTTGGTTTGAAGCGTTTATTTCTCACTTCCGAATGAATTCATATTGTCTTCATATGTCGTCAGCTTTGCCTTCAATTATTCTTACCTGGGTATGTACAAGACTCTTTCCGCTATTACAAAGCCAACGGTAACAAATAGATTTGAAGCTGGCAAGAAAGGAAGCACCAGAAGCAATAATCCCAAAACCAGTGGCGGGTGTCGCATATTCTGAAAATAATCAAATGCATGCTTTCAGAACAGCCTTTTGTTTTCGTCATTCGCTATTGGTTACGATGGTTTTATAAAAAGAAAGTTATTCAAACCCTCAAAAATAAAACAACTAAAAGAGAACAAGCTCCATTAAAAAGTTAAACACGTTTTGGAATTTTTAATTCCAGGCTAAGAAAGTTGTGGCCGGCAACGTATTGCTCCTTCGAAAACCGTTTAGGAAATAAAAAGTTTCGGCAAGTAAAAGTTCGCGGATAAAATTAAATGGGGGGAAATAAACCGGGAACTTTTCCCGAATACACTATAACTCCGAAGTTTAAGTTTCGAACGCTCTTCGAACTAGAACAATAAGGTATTGTCTCTCAACTGTAAACTATGTTTTGGTCACAATTTTACCACAGGTCTTTAGCTGATAAGCTGCCTATTATTTGATTATTTAATTTGCATATATTATTTACTGTATGTATACGAGGTCGTGTATTACAGCGTAAGTACCGAAGGCTTTAACTTGATCACACCCATAATTAATTGTTGTTACTGCAAGCAATGCAGTATTTTTAAATAGCGAAAAGTTTGTTTGCTGTACTTACCTCGAAGTCAATAATACTACGTATTGCAAGCAGGAATACTAGTCCTAAAAAGAAGCAGGTGGCAACATTTCTTGAGTCGCCCAGTGTTGTCACCAGCGGTATGGACCCCATTTGCCAATCGTGAGATAGAGTTGCGGGACAAAGCATCAACCAGAGGTTGAAAGCGGCCAGATAGCAAAAGGTCAAAAATCTAGAAAAATAATGTGGGACTGAACAGAAATGTTTACCTCCAATTAAAAACTGTTTTGCAACAAGAAATCCTGCCGAATCAGAATTAGCACGGCCGACGTTTCCCAGTTTAGTCAATTTCCGCATTCCTTTGCGGAAATTATGCATGGGCCGCCGCATAACTAGAGGGTTGTTACCGTAGTTCGTAGTAGTCAAATCAACTCCAAATATTTGTAATCAGTTTCTTTCTTTGTTCGACTGCCAAATGTATTCAGATTAGATTCAGTTTGTTAGGTATGTATATTTTTTACGAATTTCAAAGAGAAAAACAATGTTTTATTCATTGCTTCCAAATAGAGTGTCTACGCGACAAATAAACCGGGTCTTTGGAATTTCGAACCGCGCCCAATATTTTTTGTGCTAATTTTACAATACTATCATTATCATTATATTTTACAATATTGCAACCTGGGAAAACGGAGCAACCACGGCGAGAGCGGCAGCACTGATAGGCGGGCTTTCTTAGGAGATGTTCTGGTTGGTTTGCTATTTTTAAATGGCACTATAAATCGTTGCCATTTTTATAATTTACTCTTTGGATGGAATCTTCTAATGTTGTTACTGATTTTCCTTGATCCACATCAAGAACAGATATCAAGACCATTCCATGCGAATTATGAATACCTAATGTGAGCGGCCAAATGTTACGGCAGAATGTCGAAACGCAATTAGTATTTTTATTAAAACGCATTTTACAAGCGAAATTTAAGTAGATGATTAATTTGCCATTGCTTCCGGTTCCAAATGAAAATTGCACCAAATTCAAATAATTTTAAGTGAACTTAGGTGTTCGTCCGTAATGTGCTAATGTCCCTGCCTCTCAATACTATATAACTTGAATTAAAGTTTTTTACGTGTCCTACTATCCAGTGTAAATATGTAAAACTTCGTTCAATCCTGCCTCTCCTTTAAAAGATCCGCCAACATATTGCCATGAATATTCATGACCATAATTACTCTAGAAATGTTGCTAAAAAAGAGATCCGCCGGCTTTTTATTTTGGACCTCCACAGCAAAATCGTTTTCGCGAAAATCCAGCTCGCACAATTAATAAAAGTATAACAGTTATAACGAGAGCAGTGGTTCGAACTATCATATTGATATCAACACCACATTTGACGCAAAAAATAGTTGTTACTTGAATGTGCAGTTTAGTGTGAACGGGACGATGTATATATACAGGGTTGCTCATTAGTGCGTCAAAGTGCGATATCTCAGTAAATATGAAGTTTACAAGAAAATTCGTCCAACGAAAGTTTTTCACGTTTAAAATGTCCATATTCTAAAATTACTTTCCAATATACAGGGTGCATCATAAACGTGTGGTAGTTACCAACTCTGGTTTTTTAAATGAAACCCCCCTTTTTTTTTGTTATTTTCAGATTGGCCGTTCAATTTTAATTTATGTTTGTTTCAACCGTTTCACCTGAAAAACTTACGATTTCCGAGTTATTCGTAAAAATGTGAAAGTTTTGACAGCTACTGGGTTCCACAGAAATCGATGCTGTACACTACCCGCTGCGAATTTTG